ATGGGGACTATAATCATTTGCAAAATTTAAGAAATCTCTCATATTTGACCATACAGTTTATGCAATGATAAAACTGGTAAGTTGAATATTGTTATTTTTATTTCACTAAATGCCAATGTGATGTTCAATTTGGTCATAATTTGTCAATCTTTCTATTTCAAATTTAATTGAACTTGCTACCTTTTCAGGCATTTTAAATACAATTCAGTGAAATATTGTGGCCATCTTACCCATTTTTCACTGATTCCATTGTTTCTAAAACTAGTTTCACATTCTAACTCACAGCCAAAGAAACATTCCTCTATGGTAAGATACACATTGTAATCTGTATTCAACAATCTGATATTAGAAGATGAGAATCCTATTATGCTGCCAGGTTTTAAAGTAATCGCTAGGCACAAATCTTCAATAACTTTTTTATTCCTTACTTGATTTGATTTTGACTATTTAGCTATTTCCCATTTGAAAACTTGGTACATATGGCATGTTCCATAGCCGTGCACATCAAAGATTGCAAATAAACATGCAGGGTTAACTTTTTGAAAAATTCTAGGGAGGGTTCACTTTTGACAATTTTGGTGCAAAAAAATGGCTAAAATCAGCAGATCACAATAGCAGATAGATAGATTTTTTGGCCAGAGGCTCGCTCATACGCTATCGAACCCCCCCCCCCCCCCCCTCCCCTGGCTACAGGTCTGTGGCAATGCTATAAGTAGAATAAACAAATGCAAGATTTGCGTGTGAACTTTCTACATAAGAAGGCATGAGGGTCATGTATTATTTTGGAGATTCTGATTCAAAATATTTTGCAAAAATGAATGAATTCATGTTGATGAAATGCAGTTTCCTAGTAAACCATTGCTACAGACTCAAAATAATCTACTCCAAATAATAAGAAAGTTATTAAAGGTGTGAAGGAAAAGCTTTAAATGATTAGTTCCCATGGAAACAGATTGCTAAGTTACAGGGAAACAAAAGAGATATGTAGGTGTGTATGATCCACCATAGCAGATGATAGACTGGCTCCACATCTATACTGAATGAAGAATGATCAATGCCCTTTTGAATGTTTTTCTTTTAGATAAAGACTTTCAGATGATATATCATTTATAAAATTGTTGATAAGTCAATGCATTAATATGCAAAATGTCACCACCTACCATTTGTTAAAAACATCAACCCCTGAATGCTGTTACAGATGCTGAAACACCAAACATCAGCCATAAAGAAAGTGAAAACGATAACAATATGTCACCACTTGTGGTGATGACATAATAAAAACTGTAATGACAGTGTTTGTCAAATGTGATGTCACAGTGCTACCCATATAATTTCATAGAGAACTACTCAGCTTCATAGAGGACTTTATGTATTTGATATGCATATCTAAGCAACTATAGTAAAATGATAATTGAGAAAGCAGTTAATGAAGCCAGACTCTAGAAGCCAGTCTATTTTAAAGAATATTATTGAAGGAAGAAGACTGTCTAAAAATATGAGGCACAGTCCCTAATTATATATCCTTTGCATTCTATTGACTTCATTTCTTAAAAGAGAGCTTCGTCTTCACTCTTTCAGTTTACAATAAATCTCTGATCTCACTGAGCTAATCAGAGTTCGTTGTGGAAATACCGACGACTTTCTATATGGTGATTTCCTCTGAAATCACTGCATGATTAATGAGCATGTATTTGTAGTATGTGTTCCTTCCACTTCCCTGAATGGATGAGCAAAGGTTAAATTGTAATATAGTCTATACTAGGCAGAGGGTAGTTTATAACTAGACTCTGCACGCAGGGTACTAATTATGCAATTTAAGGATATAACATAATTTCAAGGCAAGAAACTAATATGTAAATTATGAAAATTTAAAAAGGTCTCAAAGAGAATTACCAGTATCTAGTACATATCTACAATAATTCTAGACTCGTAGACATGCTGTGTAGAATGCTATTGATCTTATAATGAAAAATTGTAATCTAATACATGAAAGCTATAAATAATGATTGATCGAAAAGTCTTTGTAAGAAAAAGGTTGATGTGTCCGTAGATTTCAATATGTAGTTACACAAGAAACAGAGTCAGGAGTTAGTCAGGTTCAAAGTAGAGTACAGTAAAACCTGTCTAAGTGGAACACCTTTGGTACCTCTAAAAAGTGTTCTTCTTGGGAGGTGTTCCACTTATAGGTCTACAAACAGTGGTGTATTACTTATAAAGCTGTTACACCAGTTTAACAAATAATGTTGTTGATTCAATTCATACAGAGTTACTTCCTTTCTTGTATGTATCTGTAATATGTATACCGAATGTATATGTTTTAACACAGGCAATGAAGTACAGTAAAACCTGTCTAAGTGGAACACCTTTGGTACCTCTAAAAAGTGTTCTTCTTGGGAGGTGTTCCACTTATAGAGATTCATTTAACATTGAGTCATTTGGCCTTGGGACTCTGAAAAGTGTTCTACTTAACAAAGGTGTTACACTTTTAGAGGTGTTCTACTTTACAGGTTTCACTGTAACATACATGCACAGTGAGACCTGTATAACCGAGCACCTAGCAAATCCTAACACCTTCCAATCTGAACACTTTTTCTGGTCCCATTTTTTCCTCCCATTGACTCCCATGCTAGAAAAAAACTTGAAATCTGAATTATGATATCTGAACTTTTGAAAAACACCAAATTTGTCTCATTCTTCAAAATCCAGAATCTCGCAGATGCAAAAACCTCAAAATCTAAACATCTCCTAATCCAAATGCCAAAGCCAGTCCAAATAGTGTTCAGATTAGACATGTAGTTCAAAGGAGAACTTATGAGTTGCTTTCTAAGATTACTCATTAACAATCTTTTTTACTGTTAGTTTTGACTAGTGTCAATTCTTGTCTATAACTATATTTTCTAAAAATCAATCACATTCATATTTGATGCCTAAAAGGTAACTATTATTGTAAAAAGCAATGACAAATATGATACACATATTATAATTTCCCAGTTAGAATATCAATGATGACACACAAGTAAAAATATATGAACTGCACACTCTGAATCAAATCCTGAAAACCTTCACTATTCATACACATACATGTTCGTGCAATATTGTCCTTCCTTTTAGATCTGAAACTCCAGTTTTCCATATTTTCTGCATCTGCAACTATTTCAGTTACTCCTTAATTGTGAAACTATTTGTTACTTTTGTAATATTGTTTTGTATTTTGTAACATTTCCTGGTTAGGTGATATATAAGCTATATAATTTTCCAGTCATTTCATCGGTGCACCTCTATTTCACTTCATCGTTCGATGAAGGATCATACTCATGTACAACTGCAACCCAAGAATAATATTCCAATGTCATCAAATTAAACTGACAAATATGAGGAACCATCGAAGATTAAAGTAAACATATCTCCAAATCTCCAAGTCTCCAAATTATAATCATTAAAAAGTATAAAAATCACCAAAAATATGGCAGTTTTTTCAAATATTGAGAGAAAATATTGAGGATCAGCAAGAAGAGGTTGAAATGTATTGCACAGGTAAATCATTGATTCTCGATCTACCTGTGTCTGTATAGAGATATTGTCTATAGCCCTATTAGAATATATCAGGGGATTCTATTGAATTAATATGAGCCTTTCATAGTTTATATCAAGTCCTTTGCTCCCCCTCTCAATCCCACATATACTTTTATTTGTAAAACATTTTGTCTCTTTGGCTAAATGACCTGTATAAGAGGGGACTAGAGATTTGATCCAACATTTTTTTACACACTGCCCATAATTTCTTTGTTAAAAGAAATAAATTCTGGAATTACACCCACACATAAAGTAATACATGTACATGCAACAATTGAGAATTTATACCGATTGATTTTCATAGTATCTTTTATCAATTATTAAAATAATTTTTATACAGATTGCATGCTTCTAAATTACCTCTAAATTATATCACGAGGACACATTTGTAAGGGTTTGCACCTGATCCTGAAAGTAAGCCCTTACAAAATAGTTCATTGCCATGTTTCCACTTGTATTCAGAGAGAAAACTTGAATATGCAAAAGCAAATGAAATGCCATTGATCCAGATGTAAGAGGATATAAAACATTTGAAATATGCATAATAGACAAATCAATAGTGGGTATTTAATTTTTTATTTACACCTACTCAAATTAAAAGGCAATAATCAATTTGATATCAAAAATATGAATTATGTATTCCAAAAATGTTCATGATACAGCAGAATATTCTCTCTGTAAATAATTGATTTATATGTGTTAAGGATAATTATTAAATAAAATGAGCTAGCTTTGCAGGCCATGGTACATTAAGTTCCTATCCCACAAATATCCCCTCCCCAGACCCAAAAAATCAACAATGAAATGTAGAAACATCCATGACGTTTTACAATAAACCTTGAACCAACAATAAACAATATGTTCAAAGCTTATATCTCATTTTTACTCAGGAAAAAAGATTATTCAAAAAAAAATCATATATACATTATACAGTAAAACCTGTCTTAGTGAACACATCTTTCTTGTGAACACCCATGTTTCGTGAACACCACTTCAAGGCACATTTACTGTAATAAAATCTCCTCTCTGTAGTGAACACCTACCTTCAGTGAATACTTTTTTGGCTAAATTGGTGTTCACCATGTCATTCACCATATATGTTTCAAACAGTTGTCAAAAGGATCAAAGTTTTGGAAAAATGATGTATATATAATAATCATGTGTTCACACTTACCTTTTACCAAAATTGTTTTGCATGATGGCAGAAATCCTTTTGCAGATACATGTAGTCAGTTGGGATCCAAATTAAAATAAAACTATTACAGAGTAAAAAATGAGTATTATCACAGAACACAGTAAATTACATTTCCTCTGTGTACGGACTATAAAGTAAGTTTGAGTCAATAGTCATTAGTTTATTTTTGTAAATGAAAGTTGAGTTTCTATAGTGTTATAAAAACAGAGTAGGTGTTTTTATTAACTACCCCTTAAGGTAGAAATTCCAGACTTTTGATACAGTTGTAAAGTATGTTCAGTTTCTCTTTTTTACATGCATTAATGTGTCTTTGAAGAATGAGATTCTGGGTTATTTCATATCCCTGAGTCAAAATGGTCTCTCCATCATTGAGCACTGCCAAGTCCAGTTTTTCTTTTAATGTTAATGATCTCCTTAATAAAATATAAATCAATGTACGGTATATTGTTCTGTTTTATCTACAAGCCTGTTTACTCCACTCTTTGCTGATTCCACTCTTTTTCACTTTAAATTTTAAAACATATCCACATTGTCATGGGAAACAAGGATTCACTATGGAGACGAGTTATTTCACTCATATCTAGACATTCAACAAGGTACAATTCATTTTAATTTGAACATTGCAAATTGACTTAAGTTCATTTACTATAAATGTACTACAAATCTAAGGTATACTATACATATTGGATTACATTCCTTTCATTTGAAAATGTTCTAAACAGTATTTAAATCATTTGTCGTTTTTTATTTAGAACCAAAGAGAGCCATTCAGAGGGTATTTTTCAATATATCATACTGTCTTTACTCCTAAGGGGTTAGACTTAAAGGTTATTTACTGGAAGGGATTAAATATGGGTTTAATTTTTAGAGCCAATGTGATATTTCCTGAGGGATCAAATGAACAGAGGAACAGGAACATGATATTAACCGTTTTTTTAAGTTTTCTGAAAAAGGTTGGCATTTAAAAGTTGATTTACTCTTTTAAGGACCAAAATTATAAGGTGAAATCAGAATTTTTATGTCAATGAGATTATCTAATCGCATACCATGAGTTTCACAATATCTAAATCCATAAAGTTTTTAAAATTAAGAAATCAAGTAGTTTTTGTCAGTTTCTTCATCCTGTCAAAGCATTAAATCCTGACCAAAATCAATAGTGCCATCTATTTCTCCATCCAAAGTAAAATCACTTTTATTTCAAAGTAAACCCATTGTAGATCAGTGTGATCATTAAGATCGTATTCCCAGCAAAACAATCAAATCTTCTGTCGCAGGCACAAGTGACCTTAGAGTGTACTCAACTTTATTAACAAGTCTCTCATTAATAAGTTGAAGTTAAATATTGAAATCGACAGCTGTAGAATTTGACAGACGTCAATATCGTCAGAGCATCGATAAATATTTTGAAATAAATACAATGCACATTCCTGACATAGTCATTTGAACAAAGAGTCTTTACACTGCAATAAATCTCCAAATGTTCAAAATAATTGTGATAAAATAAACAAGTGAAAAAATCAATAGAACGAAGTCAATGAACATTTTACTAAACATTCTCGCATTTTTAATTCATAAATATGGTCTAGAATTACATCGTCAGACTGTTTTCAAAGATAACATTACGTGTCTGAGTTCCTTGTGTTCAGACATACCTGTGGTTTGTATTTATTTATCAACACGCCTAACCATCGCGATAAATGGCGTCACCGTACAGCGTCAAAAAATACAGTAGTACAGTTTTCTGTATGGTGACGAAATTAACTGATTTGAAGCAAAAGATATGATGAGGGTTTTAAAAAAAATTATTTGATGAAAACAGTTATGATTTCGGTTGTGATAAAGACAGTATTCTCTTAGAAATTGTTTTAACTTTCCAATTACGATAACAGCTTTTCGAGTCTTGCCCGGAATTTTTCTGAGTGAATCGGCCCACATAACGGACCCAGGAGAAAAAATGTTGTTTTTTCACATTTTGTTTGGTTATTATTTTCCCTGGCGTCTGATAGTATTGGTTATTTTTATGAGAATATGTAATTGTTAACTACATATTTTAGGCCTGTTGAAGATTTAACAAATAATCATACATTGTGTTTATAAAAATAAAATCAGATCTGTACGGTTACGCGTCAACTGTACGGTGACGATTCCTTAGATTTTATGAAGTGCTCTAAGCTTACTGTTCAAACAAGAGGTAAAGAAGCGTCAGATCTACATGTACATTATCACTGGTAAGTATCAAGCGAAGGTTACAACCGTCACCTTCGCATTTAAGATGGCGGACAGGAAGTATTAATTTCGATATTTTTAGTTTTCATGGAATTAACTATTTGAAAGTTGACGTAATGCTTTGGTATCATTTGAACTAAACCAGGCTTTTTTCATATGACTAACAAAGATAGCCTACACATCCATCTTTAACCCATGCAAGATATTGCATCTTTCATCCTAAAAAGTCACACGTGCAAGATGAGATTTACTTGTGACATCCCTTGTTTTAAAACATCAATAACATAGCAACAGGCTAGGAGAGTTTTTGGTTTCATGATCTTTACCGTATCATACATTTCCAGTAACCTTCCATTAAGCGATGGAAGATATCGTTGAACTGTAGCGCCCATACACTATATATGAACAAATGATCATACTCCAGAGTTTCCATTTCATACAATCTTAGTCTCATTTAGTTCGAATTCATCAAAGCATAGCGTCACCGTACAGCTGGTGCGTCACCGTACAAATTTGATCTTTTTTAAATATACATAATGAATGGTTGTTTGCTGAGTCTTCGCCCGTTCTAAAATGTGTAATTAACAAATACATACTCTCATAAAAATAATCAATACTCTCAGACGGCAGGGAAAATAATAACCAAACGAAATGTGAAAAAACAACCTTTTTTCAGTTAGGTCAATTATGTGGGCCGATTCACTCAGAAAAAATCCGAACAGTGCTCGTAAAACGTTTATCATAATCAGAAAGTTAAAACCATTTCTAAGAGAATGCTGTTTTTATTTCACATGAAATCGTATTAGTTTTCATCAAATTAATTTTTTTTAAACCCTTGTCATAGTTTTTGCTTCAAAGCAGTTAATTTGCGTTACCGTACAGAAAACTGTACTCCGCTATTTTTTGACGCTGTACGGTGACGCCTGCTTACGCGATGGTAAGGCGTGATCAAATGACGTGCACAGGATAACCTGCTGGTGACTCATGGTAGAAATAAATCCATTCAGACTATTCCACTGAAGTCTCCATTATATATTGTTGCCTCCGAAAACAGAGGTCTCCTAAATAAGATGACCCTTGATGGATGTCTTATAAAACTGATGTCTCCAAAAAGAGATGCCTCGATACTTTAATTAAGACCCCTCAAAGACAAAATGGATAAATCTCCAAAATAGAATGAGAAGTCTCTTGCCTTAAAACGACTGGAAAGATGAGACTGCCCAAAAACTGAAGAATATACTATACTTTTGGACCTGAGAAAACATAATCTAGTATTTCACTGAACAGTCTACAGCAGTGAAGCAAAAAAATCCCCAAATTGAAACATAGCCAAAGTCTTGCATTGATCAACTTCCAAATGATTATGTTTTCTCAGGATAGGCACTAGACTACATTAGTGAAGTTAAACTACACATTTTTAAGAGAACATGGATGCATAGAACTTAATGGTCCTCTAGAGATCAGTTCTATCTCCTATTCCCGATTGAATACAAAGGCATAAGAAAAATAATTAGATCCCCTAGCAAAACCAATCTATAGAGGAATAACAATCTATTGGGTAATAATAATATTACAAGTTGACGTATAAGTTCTCTTAGAAACATGTACCTTAACCTCCCTATTGTGAAAATTTATGAACTTACCGTTCTACTTTGACAGTGAGTGTCTTAAATGCGCTGTGTATGAGTTGAAGAGCCTCTGTTTGGGATGCACAAGCTACATCATTGACAGCAGCGATCCTGTCTCCAGGGAGAAGAATTCCATCCGCCTTTCCGCCTTCATCAACCTAATTCCAAATAAAACAAGGCATTAACATGCTCAATGTCACCACCTGCCATTTGTTACAGATGCCAACCGCCGAATGCCATTTGGTATAGACACCATCCATAGAAAAATTTAGAGAAAATAACAATATGCTATGTCACCACCAGAAGTGGTTACTATTGTTTGAAAATGTTTTAAAAGAATATTGTTACACAAAATCACTATAAAGTATTCATGCTACTTTTCCTTTAATTTATATTTTCGATATCAAATTGCAGGGGTGAAGCCAGCTTTCAGTCAGGGACAGTGATCATCAAATTCTTTGGGGTTTCCAGTCAGGTTTTAAGATTTGTTTTGAATTTTTCAAAAATTGATGCAACTTCCTTCAAAATTGAGCGAGAAGCTTCAAATAAAAAGCATTTTAAAGCTCTTTTCTTCTTCTAATTGATTTATTTTTATTGATTATGAGCGGGAGGTGCAATCGCACCAATCCCATCCTTATTGGTTGAGAATGGGCTAGCATGGTAGACTTATAATGTCACAGGCACCCTCTTTGGGGTGGAACTGCTAAACTTTAATATTGTCTATCCTAGGCAGAGGGTTTTTAACTAGACTCTGCACACAGGGTACTTAATTTGAAAAGAAAGAGGTGTATGGAAGAGGCTAGTATAATCTTAAACCTAACTGTGAGTTTTCTATGATCACTCCAACAGCAGAAATACAATGGTATTTACAATAGGTGCTGCCATCTTTAAATAGACTATTTAATCAAAAGCATGGTATGTACCATCTGATCAATCTTTAGTTTGCATTCCACCTCTTCTTTTTTGAACTAAGTGCAAATACAATCATCTGATTCAGGAGATTTTCTAATTTGTATTAGGTCCACTGGCAGAACTAGGAGGGGGCTTATTAATGGGCTCTCTTGGGCATAAATGGGCCTTTAAAACCATATTTTTTAATTCTAGGCCAAATTATCAAGAAAATAGGCCTTAAATTTTCAAAATTTGGGACCATTTTTTGGTTTTAGTTGCCTAATTTTTTCTGTGCAAGTGCGCGATTTGTTTCCATTCTTCAAGTATGCCCCAACCCCCTTATTGGTTCCCAGATCCGCCCCTGAGATCTACATGTATAACATTTCCTGAACATTTTTTTGCATTATTATGATTGGATGATACTCATTGTTGATGTCTGTCGAAAAGCCTACAGTATGTCTGTCACTTATAGGGGAGTGTAAATAGAGACAAATGGCCACTTTTATTACACCCATGCATTAATTAATATGTCTATTCAAGATCATGTTTAACATTTCATACTATTTCATACTTAATTTAGAACTGTTTGCCTTTAAACTTTGTATACATGTATGTTTGTGTATGATATTTTCCATGCCTGAAGTGACAAGATTTCTCATCACCTCAGAAATGACCTTGAAACCTTGAGTGATGAGAAAATCGGTCACAAATTTTTTCACTAAAATTGTTCTTATCTGAATAATTTTTATCCAATTTACACAAAAATTGTTTTAAAATATGTATAAATAATGACCTCTGCCGTCTAATTTCACTATAGGTCCATCTTCAGTTGTATATATGTTGTAAAATGTCAAAAGCTGGCAAAAATGAAAAATTCTCTGGTTTCAACCGATTTTAGAGCCTGGGATTCAAGAGGTTAATATATTAAGTCCAACATGTTTACAACCTCAAATTCAAAAATTTATCAAAAATCAAAATCCCTAATTTCCTTGGTCAAGTGGAAAATAAAATGTTGAAAGAAAGTTGAATTAAAGGTTAACTGCCACTAAAATTATTTAACTAAGATCGCTGGCAGCAAATAGAGAAACTTGTATTTCAGTAAAAAACTTCTATTAACAAGTTGGTACTTAAAAAAACATAAATAAACTTTTAACATACACGAAAAAAGAGTTTTGTATACAACTTTTTATTGACGTTTCTTTTAAAAACCTAGACATTTAGAATTAAATTTTACACTTGTAAAATCAAATTGAAAAAGGATTTTATTTGACACTTCTGTAAAAGAAACAAACATGATATTGTTCAGAGGTTTTTAAAGAGAATCTCAGGCACTCTAAATTGCCAAATAAAGTGATAAGGTTCTTGCATTTTCAATAATTACTCGTAAAAACATAAATGTTTCCAGTTTATACTTATGTTGAATAATTTCTTTCTATTTTCTTGCTTTTTACTCTCAGCTATAAAGAATTAAAACAATTGCTTCATGTATTTCAAGGGTAGTTGTGTGGTTACTATTTTGGTGTAGACTCTGAAGTCTGAGTCACTGTAAACACAAACCCACTTATTCAAAGAATAACCTTTCTGGTACATTATAATTTGAATAAGTGTAAACACTGTAGTGTATAATGACGCTATAAGATTATAGTATCTTGTAATCTTGTGATTTGTCATTTTTGAGAAAGCAAAAGAGCAATTTATTGATAAAGATATTGCCAACAAACTAGGCTTTGAACAGATGAAGTGTGACATTAAAAAGATTCCAGGTAGCCCCATGGTTGAAGAATAATATATAATACATTAAGAGATTTTTTCTTTTAACCTGTAGCAGAGGCATAGTCATAGTCAGCTATTGTCGAGGGGGTGTGACTTTTTTGGTTTGCATCACTGCGAGCGAAGAGAGTCCCGGAAAGGGGAATAAGGGGATTCCCCCAGAATATTTTAAAAATTAACATTGTTTATGGTGCATTTTTCAAGCATTTCTCCCATCACACCTCCCCCTGGCTATGCCCATGTGTAGTATTATTCAAGTTTAGAAAATTGCGACACTACTGACATTTTCAGCCTATAAGGAATGAGTTTAATCTAATGAACTGTACAATGTACTGTGAAGAAAAACATATGGTTTCCTTTATCCTTTTCACCTTTACCTAGACTTTTAGCTAAAGATTATCCTTAATAGAACTCTTATGCCTTACAAAAACAGAACAGTTTCTGGACAAAATGACTGCAAATATTTCAATTCCACAGTACTTATTCATGTTTGACACGCTTGTTCTACATTGATCTGAAAATGAGATATCCTTTTATCTTAAAATAAAATGCTGAGTGACAAAGTTCTAAAGACCTTATTCATAAAGGTCATCATGACCTTATACATAAAGGTCATCATCATTTAGTGATTCATTCCCTCAAAGACAAGTAAATCATGCAAAGTTCTACTATATCAAATCCCTTACTACAAGATTCTCTCTTCAATTGTTGTATATTTGATTATTTTATGTAATGTTCTGTTGAATTCATTTTAAAAACAACAATCGTGCATAATTTGTGATCATGACGGTACCTTTAAATATTATTACAGGTCATGTGAGCCCCTACTGCTTGATGTATTACAAAATAATTTATCCCTCTGTATATTATATATTCTATTAATCGGTGGGAATAAGAACTTTGACATGAAGGTTTAGGAACATACTGATATAGTTCCAATGATTGTATATATCAGTGAATTTTCAGGGCCTTGACTAGTGATTATGGGGAACTTCAAAGATTGACCAGTTGTTATATAAATGCAGGGTGTGCCAAAAAATATCGCAACTTTTTTAGAAGGCAAAAAAGTATCATAATATTGTATTGACATGAAATTTTTTTACAGAAACTAAGGATAGGCATATTTTACCATTCGTATACTTAAGCTAATACTGACTTCAAATTTTGTCAAATTTTTGAATGTTAATGGTAAATTGTTCATGTGTCCGAGATTTACCGATTTTCCTAGAAAATGTCATTTTCTATAATTTTATGTGATCATCAATAGCACATTTATTATGTTCACTAAATTCACTAAGCCGCTATTCATCAGGACTAATGAATCGAGGGGTATTCTCCTCCAGATATTCCATAGTGACTTTTGCCCTATGGCTGGAAGCGTTATCCTGCTGGAATAAGTAATCACCTGGGGTTAAAAAGCCCTCGTTCTTCACAGATGTCCCTTTTGAAGAATGTTAGTCCCGATGAATTGTCACCCAATACACCAGATTCCAACCCCTGTGACTATCATACACCCCCAAAATGCAATCTGATTTTCGACGCCGTTTCGGTGCCAAATTTCGGTGCCGTTTCGTCACCAAATGGACTGACTAGTCCGGTAGCAAATTTTGGTGCCTAAAGGTTTCGGTGCCGGAACGGTGTCGAAACGGTGCCGGAACAGTGCCGAATTTTTTCGATGCTGAAACGACGTCGAATTATATTGGCTGTGTACATGGGGGCACCTGGAGCAATGTATTGTAGATAATGGTTATATCCCACAAACTATTGATCAACTAAAAGAAGTTCTGCAGGATAAGTGGAGAGAACAACCGCAATAACTGCGGGATCACACCATTGACCAGTTCGGTCCTCGTCTCCATGTGATTGTGAAGGTGAAAGGCGGATGCATAGAACATTTGTTTAATAAATAATTAATATTCAAACATCTGACAAAAACATTTGATAGATGTGCCCAAAACATTTGAAGTCAGTATTAGCTTAGTATTTGAATGGTAAAATATGCCTATCCTTAAGTTTCTGTAAAATTTTTTTATGTCAATACCATAATGTTGTTAAATACTTTTCTAGCCTTCTAAAAAATTGCAAAATTTTTTGGCACACCCTGTTTACCCTAAGAGTTATGCAGAGTTCAAAGATGGGTTTTGTATAAACTTGTACCTCATACCCTCATACCTACGTAGTCTTTAAAGATTCAATCTGAGTTTACCCTAACTTAGACGTATTCAAGTTTGAATGATGGGGACAATAGTACACCCATAAAGACAAGGTTATAATGCAATCTAAATGTGATAATATGATGACACCTTTTAGATGACTTCCTTGAATTTCCCATGATTTTAGTGTAGATTGCTTCTATAGTGAAAAATTTTGCAATTGGCCTTATTTTATGACTAGAAAAATGTTAGATTTTCTAAAATAAGGCCAATTGCAAAATTTTTCACTAAGATTGAATAATCTTAACATCCTGAAAATAACGCAGATGCGAGTAGATGCTTTTTGTGATTTTGTAACATGGGGTCTATGGGAAATCAACCCGAACTAGAAGTCACATACCCTTACAATGTAAACGTGTTTTGAGATGACATACATCTCTGATTGGTCAAAAATCGACCAACAAATGACAATTATTTTGCATCTTAAATCTCAGAAAAAATTTGGTAATCTACTATTAATGCTAGATAAAACTGTGGCATTGAATAGTAATGTATCATGTAATGTATCATGTGCAGCAAAGCTGTGGCCTTTTGTAATTTAGGAAGTTTCAGCCATGTTAATTTTTCCGAAAATAACATGACAGAGAAGTATCAAAATATAAGAGGACACAGATATGTTAATGATAGCTAAACTACAAAACAAACTAAAATATACAAAAGTTAGGATAAATAGAAATGTTTCTATTTTTACATAAACTGTTTCAATATGGTCATTTGATTGCTTATTTTTTAAGTTCAAAGTAGTCACAAACATTTCTGTTTTGACTTTAGATATTTTAAAAGTGAAATTGTTCCGATTGTCATGGGGGATTTCGAATTAGCTAGCAATGTGTTGACAGATAGACGGATGGTTGGACGGACGGACGGACAGACAGACAAGTGAGTGATAATAATAGCTCACCCAAGTAATAATGACAAACATAACTTACATGATCGACAATAAGTGATGTTCTTTTCTCTGATCCACCAGCTAAAGAAAATCCCCAAGGAGCACCACCTTTTAAGATCACTTCATCCATATTCAGATCAAGAGAATTTGATAGTTCCATCCCTAATTACGATGTTCTTTCATTTTGATTAATATTCAGTCATTTTTCACCTAGGATGCATTGCTGATTGCCACTTTAAGACTTATGTCTAAACAGTAATTAAAAGTTAGAAAAAAGCTTTGATTTGACTAATGCTGACAATGAAATCAGAATCAGAAATAAAATTTAAAAATAAATCAATTTGGCTAAAAGTAAGTTGACTGAAGTTCAGGAGTTGTCAAAACTAAAATTTCACTTTGAATTTTTCTTCAGCTTGGGTAAAAGTTTATCTTTCGATGATGAAATTCTCTTCTCCTTCAGTAATTATGCTTGCGTTGCAATATAAAACTCGTATTCATGAAAAGGATGGCTTTGATTTTCCGATTAAAAAGTTAAAACGTAAGTTTTACATTCGCTGCTAAAGTAAACAACCACCTGTTCTAAAATAGATGGCGCGTTGTTATATGAATGTACAATTTGCAGATCTTTGTCCGTACAAAGCGACTTATCTCAGTTAGACTGTAAAATATAAAAATTCCAAGCATTACTTTTTGAAAGCTGTATTTTGCAAAGATCATTTAATTAATGTTATATTCCAGGAAGATAGAAGGTCATTTAATTGAACATTTTTGAAAAGCTAGTTTCAGATCTAGTCTAAAAATCTGAAACTTTATTCGCAATTTACACTAACTGTTCGCGGGAAAAAGTTTAAAATTCCATTTCAATTTTTGTAAATCTCCGTCTTCACTGGCGGATTAGGGGGGGGGGGGGGCTGGGGGCCCGCCGTGTTGATTACAGAGTGGCAAATAAGTCCCGTCCCCCTGCTACAGTTAAAACCTTAATAGATGGCACCTAGTGTGATATACTATATGCAGATGATATAGATCAGGCCCGTAGCCGGATTTGCCAAGGGGGGTTCAGTTTTCAAAAAATTCCAGGGGGGGGTTCACATTTGACAATTTTGGCCAAAAAATGGCTAAAATCACTTGAGAAGTGCTGGTGAAAAGAATGGTGAAAAACTGCATGATTTTGAAAGAATTTTTGGCCAGGGGGGGAACCCTGCGAACCCCCCCCCCCCGCCCCCCCCCCTGGCTACGGGCCTGGTTATATAATAGATGTGCGAAAATGAAAATGATCTTCAAGTTACCAGACATTGTACATAATTGGTGTAGAAATTGGAAAGTTTCAGTAAATATCAATAAATCCAACATTGTTCATTATAGAAAAGCAAGTACTGCTAGAAGTAACTTTAAGTTTGAGTTAGGAGACCAGGGACTTGAAATTGTTGATAAATATAAATATTTGGGATGTTTTCTCAATGAAACACTTGATTAGGCCTATACAGCTTTGCTAAACTTTTATCCTCAAGTGCTGGGCGAGGGTTAGGAGGACTAATTACAAAATTTAAAGCACTGAATGGACTTCCCTTTAATACCTATACAAAATTATACAAAACTCCTGCATTGTTCCAATTATGAATTACTGCTCTGGGGTTTGGGGGGGGGGCTAAACCCTATCAATCATGCGATAAAAAAAACTCATCGAGCTATGAGGGTAATTTGGGAGTCCATAAATTTTGTTCTATACCTGTTATGTATAGTGATACAGGGTGAACTACCTCAAATCATGCATATCCAAAATTATGGCATATTCTATACTTTCTATACTTTCGAACTGCTTTTTTTAAATGATACTTTTTTTCAGTCTTAGACGATTGGACTCTCTAAAGTCTATACATGTCTATACTTTCTATACTGTCTATACTGATTTTGGTGAATTACCTATGTCTATACTTTCGATACTTCTATACTTTACATTTTGGTGAAATCCCTATGTCTATACTTTCTATACTTTCGATACTTTCTATACATTGTAAAACAATATGTATGCATGCATGAGCAGTTCGAAAGTATAGAAAATATAGAAATATCGATTTGTCTGAGGCAGTTGGTCTGAAAAAGCAGTTCAAAAGTATAGAAACCGTAGACATCTTATTTGTCCAAAGCATGAACATAGAGATTATCCATGAAAAAGCAGTTCGAAAGTATAGAAACTATAGACATCTGATTTGTCAAAGACAGTTATGGGGAAAAGCAGATCGAAAGTATAGAAAGTATAGAAACTATAGACATTTGATTTGTCGAAGACAGTTATGGGGAAAAGCAGATCGAAAGTAAACAAACTATAGACATCTGATTTGTAGAAGACAGTTATTGGGAAAAGCAGATCGAAAGTATAGAAAGTATAGAAACTATAGACATTTGATTTGTCTAAGACATTTCTGGGAAAAAGCAGATCGAAATATCGAATGCATCTGATATGTCGAATACAGTTCTGGGAAATAGCAGATAGAAAGTATAGAAACTATAGACATCTAATTTGTCAAAGACAGTTTTGTGAAAAGCAGATAGAAATTATAGAAAGTATAGAAACTGTAGACATCTGATTTGTCGAAGACAGTTATTGGAAAAAGTAGATCGAAAGTATAGAAAGTATAGACATCTGATATGTCGAAGACAGTTCTGGGAAATAGCCGATAAAAAGTATAGAAACTATAGAAACTATAGACATCTGCTTTGTCAAAGGCAGTTAGCATGAAAGGGCATTTCGAAAGTATAGAAACTATATAGACATCTGATTTGTCAAAGGCAGTTGGTATGAAAAAGCAGTTCGAAAGTATAGAAAGTATAGAAACGTAGAAGGCAGATAGTATGAAAAAGGAGATCGAAAGTATAGATTTAGACAATGTATAGAAAGTATAGACATTGCCATAATTCTGGATATACCTCCCCCAAATGACACACGCAAACTCGAAATGTTACGACTTTTGAACAGATTTATCAATATGGAGGATCATAGGCTTACTAAACAAATATTTCTCGAGGACTATCGCAATGGTAGAAATGGTTGGTGTACAGACATTAAAAATATTTGTTTCGAACTTGATTTATCTCATAAATTTGAAACACTGGACTATATCAGAATGGCTAAAGCTAAATCAAGGCTTTTTTCAAAGCACACAGAAAATGGAAAAAGGGATATTGCTTCACAAGATAAATTGCGCACATCTATTACGTTCAAAAGTGAACCCATAACTGAAAATGTCAAGTGTAACATTAATTGTCACAACGTTCACTGATAGCACAACTTTCACTAGCAATAGGGACTGGGAGATACTCACAACCAAGAAAAAACACCAATACAAGACAGACTGGGCCATGTTTGCAATTCAAATAAAGTTGAAGATGAGAAACATTTTATATTTGAATGTGATGCCTATAAAATAGAGACTCTCATTTTTAACACCAAATATTGATTCATTTATAAATATATTTAAAACCAAGAGTATTGTAAAACAATTTGCAAACTATTTGAACTGTATTTTTAATATAAGAAAGAATCACATATATAAGATTAATAATTAAATGTTTAATGTGTCTCATAAGCCCAGTTTGGATTGGCTATTTTGTACAATAGGTGACACTTTGATAAAAATAAATCAATAATAATAATAATACTATTGAAACATTCTGCCACCAACAACCAAGTATTTCAGTGGATGCATTTTACCTATATTTTCGCAGTGGCGGATCAAGAAATTAACAGGGGAGGGGGGCGAATTTGAGTCAGAAAAAAATTTGGGGCCCTAAAACCAAAAATTGGGCTCATATTTGGAAAAAATTAAGGCCCATTTTTGATGGATGTGCCCAAAAAGGCCTCAAAAGTCAAATTATGGCCAAAAGGCCCATTTTTTGGCCCTACAAAATTCTGGGGCCCAAACACTATGCCCCATGCTCCCCAAATACACTTCTAACCCTGTCCAGAAATTGGTTGTTAAAATACTTTTCTTATAAGCTTACCCGATTCTTAAAATCCTGCCAAATATGCCAAAATGCCATGTTTCTAGGGCTATGGTCACCTCAATTGATACAATGTGAAAATTTGTGACAATGATTGGCAGGCATCGGATATATGCCAATCGATGTAACTTTGGAAGATCTTTCTAAATAAATGATATGATCAATTTAAATATATCCACGCCATGTTATCAGGAAAAATGAACGAAGGGGGAGTAGCCTATTTCTGCGAGACCTTGTGACGTTCAACAAAACTGAAATTTTATTTTTTCACGAGAAAGTGTACTAATACATCGCTTACTGTATGGGTGCACGGACCGGTGTGTCGAAATCAAGAAATAGAGAAAAACGAAAAAACTGATTTGAAAAGCAATTGTTTCAGTCAATTTTTCTAATTTCCAAAGCTCCTAACATTTAAGCAATATATTTGGCATATTTTCTGAAAAATTCAAAATATTCTGTTCAGTGACCTTTCGGAAATGCTAACTTTTAACTTTTTCTCAGTCACAATTTCAGAGGGCTGAAAAACATATTTCAGCATGGTAAGGGTCATTTTGACCACGACCAATGTGATCCTGGTCATGTAAATAATAAATGGAAGTAGTAAAACTCATTGAAGGTTAATGCAGGACTCTATCTTAGTTAAAAAATCTAAAATCCACATGTTTTTTTCATTTCCTGTTTGGTGTAAATTTCTGATAACTACCCGGAGACCTTAAGGATCATAAATAGTCGTTTTCTGATATAAAAATAGCATATTTTAAGATTTCACAGGAATATATCTAGTCAAAAAGTTTTTTTGGCAGTTTCAGTGTGTTCGCACCCAAAGCACCCCCCCCCCTCTTTCTGACCTCTTGTGATTTCATCGGGCTTTGCCCAATAAGACTTCATCCCCCGCGAAGCCCTGTCGAGTCGAAAAAGGGACCAGGGGTCTCGTGGACATCGTGGAACGTTTGATCATTTGACGTGTACGAGGATTTGTGCATCAGAATGGCTGTGGTAAAACCTTCTTAATTTTACGAGGCCCGGCCATGAAAAAATACTATATCTACATCTACTAATTCATCTGCTATTTCAAAATGACTGTACTCCCGGGGACTATACTTCTTTTATTATTACATTAACATGCACACTAATATATCTTGTTGACCTATATGCAGCACTGTATTGATGTATAGGACACTTCATTAGGGTCATAAAATTCAATTATGAAGTGCAGAGGCCTACATTCACAACCAGGAAGTATTATGTCTCTACCAAAATCCATTTAATTGTATCCTACACATCCCTACATCTTATCCAAATATGTTACTAAATAATGAAATATAATAGTAAAATCTTTGGTTTTATAATTGTTGTGTGATATTTGACAAGTGTAAAAGATGTTTTTGGAGAATCTTTCTCTAGCCATTTTGTAGGGGAGAAATGATAGAAAAAATGTACATCTTTAAATCTTTAAATTTAAAGTATGACCTGAATCGATTGCAAACGTCATATTATTTTGCACATTTGATGAGATAAACCATTTGTGTCATATTCACGCCTAACCATCGATAACGTACAGTGACAAAATATACGGGTGTACAATTTAGA